GAGGCAGGAAAGGGAGGCAGGAAAGGGAGGCAGGAAAGGGAGGCAGGAAAGGGAGGCAGGAAAGGGAGGCAGGAAAGGGAAGAAATTTGGGAAAAAAGAATCAAAGTTAGAGAGAGAGACAGACATGTAAAACCCACTCTGTGGTAGCCATTGACTCCAGTTCCAGCTGTGTTTCTTGAGCACAGGATCAACACCCATCACCAGAAGCTTCAGATTGTCTGTCACTCTTGGCCCCTGGATTGCCCAGTTGGTTGGCTGGAGGTCAGAGGTGCAGGGGAAGCATCTCCCAGACCAAGTCTGGGCTCTGGGAGTGATTTGTGAGAATCTTGAAGGCTCTCCTGCATCACTCCCTGCTGCTCATGTTGGCACCTGAATTTCCACAGTTTGAACTTCATCATTTGTCTTGGTCAAATAGAGGATCTGTCCTCCTGCTAAAAAGCCCAACCTTGAAGTATCCAAAAGGCCTATCTATAACTGCTTTCAGAGCCTTTTTTTTTTTTTTTGAAACAGGTAGAGAGAGGAGAAAAAAAGAAATGCCCATGAGGAATGAGAGCCAAAGAGGTGGTGCAGGGATGAGGGGAGAGATTTCGTGCACTGCACTCCCTAGTGCCTGTCACCAAGCCTTCAACATCTGGGCTTCTCCAGAAAGGCCCACAGTTATAGACCACGGTTCCCACACACATAGACCCAAGTGGTAACTATGGGTGGTGGTGGATGCTTGTTCGTTTAATTATGGTAATCGATATACAATGTATAGACACATTAAATCATCATATGGTATGCCTTAAACATCCACAATTAAAAAAAAAAATCTTCCTATCTTTGGGGACTGGCTTTGAAAAAGTAACTTGAATACTTTAACATATACCTTTACCACCTGAGAACTGGGGTTAGAGTCCACAATTTTCAAAACCGGAGCCCTCTCCAGGAGAGTGACTCCCAACCATGAGCTTTGAACTGTTTCCTTTCCTACCTCCAGTTCAGAGATGCACCTGTCTAAAGGGGAAGTTTTCCTTGGGTTGATGGGAGGAGCTCACACTGCCATGCTATGGAGTGCATAGCACCATGGGAACACGGGCTTGAGCATGTAGTAAGCAGGATCCAGCAGGAAGACAGAGCAGGAGGGAGATCAGCCCTGCATAAGTGGCAATATCTTCTGCCACTTTAAGTTTCCAGTAAGTAGCAACATCTAGATCAAAGTTAATGCACACGTAGGCATTATCATGATTAAACTCCATGTTTAATATGCACATTCTCATTTCCTAAAATTGAAAGGCCTAACTAGTCTCTGATGAAGGACGCCCTCCAGCATCACTTCGAGAACTAAGGTAAATAATCATCTACCTGCGAAGACGACAATCCTAGGCGAAGGCAGCACATCATCCCTAGGGATGTCTTTGCAGTTTTCCCATTTCAGAAAGATTCTTCTAGTCTACAGGTCCTGAACCATGTGAATATCTGCGGGTCTTTGGATGGGACTAAACACTCACTCTTAAGCACACTTGGAGTCATACTAGTCTATTTATAAGAGTCTACATACTTTCCTGTGACTCATTTTCAAAGTAAAGTGTACTGTCAACCAAACTTCCTTCCCAGAGGACCCATAACTAACCCGGTACATCAGCATGGGCAACGGGCTGTTTCCTGCTGACCCATCTCCCCTCTAATGTGTGTGACTAATTTTCTATCATTTCTTTCTTCTGTCCACATCCTGCTAGCTTTTTTGCAGGTATTTCAAAGGGGGAGGGAAGGCATTCATTAGTTTCTCGGTTTGGAGAGGATTCAGTGATGCTGGGAAATGGTAGAAAACTCAGAGACAAAGACTTACACATGCACAGACAGCCCAGCGGATGAGGGACCCCATGAACATTGAGGTTGGCAAGAGAAATATTTTGCTCTAATTCATCTAAGATCCTTTTGATTTTGCTCATTTGTAGAAAAAAAATGTTAATTTGCAATGGCAACCAACTAAATGAAGGAAGCCATTCGATTTCAGAATAAGTTTTGAATACTGGAAAATAACATTACCCTTGTTTTAAAAAAATTCAGAAAATGGATACAAGTTTTTAAAACATCACAAGTACCTGAAGACAGGAAAAAAAAAAAAAAGCACTTTACTGAGGTGAACAGAGGACAGCAAACTCACCCCAAAGTCTGCACAACTATGTTAGTGATTCTGGGCATAAAAAATACCAGAGTGAAAAATGTTCCTTTCTGGTTGGATAAACAAAAAAAAATCATACGTGAATCATTAACACAGTACTCATCCACACACATTATCTAACATTGTATTAGCAAAATCAGCAGGAGGAAGGGAACACACATCTTACATGTTAACAGACCTAAAATCTTAAAGATGGGTCTTTTCAGTCATTGTCAATCTGGTTGAACTAAAGCACTTGGGGAGGGAAGAATAGGAGAAAACCAATTGCATAATTTTTCCATAAATTATGGAAGGCAGAAGTTGAATTACAAAGTGCTGTTCTCAAATGAAAATGTGCTCAGTTATTTCCACAAGATTAGTCATTCTGTGGTTCGGTGCACAGGGTAAGTGCAGGGGAGGAGATTACTAAAAAGGGTGGCAGCAAACTGTCGTTAAGGAGGAGACTTGGGTGTTCAGTGTGAGCCTGGGAGGGTTCAACCCTTGGTACCTGTCCTTGCCCTGGCACTGGGCATCGTCCTCTCTCTCCTCCTCTGAATTGGGTTCCGTGACTGGTTGTTCCTCCTCCTCATCCCTGAGACAATGCCAGGAAAAGAGAAAGGCACACAGAGACAAGACGGAAAAAGCAAGATGAGCATTACAGACACAGAGATGAGACAAAGCAGCAGGTCCAGCTGGCCGAAATGAAAAGGAGCATTCTCGATCTGTTAGGAGATTGAGTTCTGAGATGAGGAATGTTACATGTGGGGAAGAGACACCATAACCCAGAAGAGGACAAATTTCTTGGTCAAGTTGGCCGGATCCCACTACCTTGCACACCATCCTGCCCGCCGCCACCCCCACCATGGGACTCTGAGCCTCCTATGTGGTTTCCCCTTCATACAGAATCATGTTCTTGGTGATGACCAATTCCTTACATTTTTATCACATCCCTCTTGGTTAGAAACCATCCAGGAGCAGGTCCATCTGGCACTGACTAACCCTGTGGCGGACATACAGCTTTGGCTGGCCTCTCCTCATTCTCAATGTGTTTCCAGGGAAGCCGATCCACCCTGCTCTTCGAGGGAGGGTACACATATTAGGTGAAGTTTCTCCTGGTGCTTTCAGGAGTAACTCACACCACCCTGAGTCTGGAGCTGCCTGAACCTTCTGATGGGAGAAGGTGGCCTATACAAAAGCCCATTAAAGAAAAGCAAGGCTAAAAGGGAAGAGGAGAATGTAGCTCTGCTCTAGCCTTTCACTGATAAATTCTTTTTTTTTTTCTTTTGCTTAAGATAGTTTAAGTTAGGTTTTATCCTTGCAGCTAAATGTGTATAGACTCAAGATTTTGATAGCTGTGTCATTACCCTCCTCCAGTCTCTGAGCCCAGACAACATCTGACTTACATGGCTGTCCTTGGAGAATACCTGAGCAATGCCCTGCAGGGCTTCTCAATCCCTTGCCTTCCTGAACTGCAGGGATCTTTGCCTTTTCTCATATCAGCCCCTTACACTTTGGATCTCAACATACAGAACTAGTCCACCAGGATATTCAGCATCCTCCTCCCCAACCACAGCCACCACCCACCCAAATCCTTCACCTGCATAGAATACCTGTCTCTTCTACCTGCCTACCATCATCTTACTGCCTTCAGGCATCACTTTATCAAGATGTTCAACCCCTCTGCACCATTCTCCTTCAGCTCTGTTTTTATCCCCTTTTACTGAGGTATAAAATATGTGCACAAATCACTGAGCTTTCACAAAATTCCCTCTTCTAATCAGCACCCCCTTCACAGGCCCTTCCAGTGGCTTCCATTCCCCCAACTTGTATCAAAGAGCATGAGTTATTTGCTTGGTTTTCTTATCTAAAAGGAATCATACTGTGTGAAATTTTGTTTGTTCAACATTATACTTGTAGGATTCATCTATATGGTTGTGTGTATTTAAATACCAGGCATTCTCATTAATACATAGAACGATCCTGTGTATTCGTGAATATACCACCGTTTAGTTATCCTGAATATACCACAGTTTAGTTATTAATACCACTGCAGATGATATTTGGGTACTTTTCAGTTTTGTTATTTTAAGTAATGCCTATTATGAACATTATAACGCATGACTTCTAATGAACATGTGAATTTATTGCTGTGCTGAATACATCCAAAGACAGGATTTGGGGATCAAAAGATATGCTTGAGTTCATCTTTATTTTTAAGTGATAAGGCTAATTTACACACACACACACACACACACACACACACACATATGTATGTATTCTGGTTTTTCACATCCTTACTAAGATTTAATATTTTGTTCATTTTAGCCATCTGAACTGTGCTGTTTTCTTGTGGTTTTAGTTTGCTTTCTTAGATGACTAATGTATTTGGGCACATAGTCATACTTTTAATGTCCATTTTGGTATCTCCTTTTTTGAAGTATCTTGCCAATTTTTTCAAAACCAGATTGCCTTTTCTTTTACACTTGAAGTTTTTACATAATTTGAATATAAGCCTTCTGGCATTTGTGTATTTTACAAACATCTTTTCCCTGTGTGTTGCCTTTGTTTTTGCTTCATGATGTCCTTTTAAATGAGTAGAAGTTATTAATCTTAACGAGGTCCTATTATTTATCAGTGCTTTTGTGCACA